ACCTGTGGCATTACACCTATTCCAAGCCTCCTTCCTCCTGTAAATCTTTAATCTTCAATCTGTTAATTCTGCTTAGAATACTTGCCCCTCATTTGTCTATCTGTCAAGCACCTACTTGGACTTTCCGGTGGCTCAGTGGTAAAGAAACTGCCTGCAGTGCGGGAGCCAGTGGAGACACACGTTTGATCCCTGGGTCAGGAAGATCCCCTGGAGAAGGGCATGGCAACCGACCCCAGTATTCTTGCCTGAAGAATCCCATGGACAGAGGAGCCTGTGGGCTACAGTCCATAGGGTTGCAAAGAGTTGAATGCAACTGCAACTGAAGCAACTTAGCACGCATGCACCTACTCATCTTTCAGTTCTTACCTCAAACAGTCCAAATGACATCAGTTCCTACTTGCTTTGGCCAGTGTTGACTATTTTCTATTCTGTACCCTCACAGAGCTGTTTTAGGCAGCTCTGTTTTAGGCAGCTCATGATCTCTCAAGTCCTCTCTGCCATCTATCTTTGCACATTCAAGGCTACACCCTGTATTGGAAGTGACGACCAACGCTTGTTTACTGCAGCCTCAGGACTCCACATGGACAGTGGTCACAGCCAGGGCTATTTATAAAAAAATGTATGCTTGTCTAGTCAAGGGGAGCAATCTATACACCACTGAATCAGGCAATGACTTTAACAAAGGCACTCTGTATGTGAGAAAGTCTGTATGTATTTAAGAACAAAGATTGGGCTTCCCCTGTGGCACTAGTGGGAAAGAATCTGCCTGCCAAAGCAGGAGACACAGTTTGATTCCTGGGTCAGCAAGAAATCCTGGAGGAGGAAATGGCAACCCACTCCAGTATTCTTGCCTAGAAAATTCCATGGACAGAGGAGCCTGGCTGGCTACAGTCCATGGGGTTGCAGAGTCAGATATGGCTAAGCACGTTTGCATGCACATAAATATGGTGAAACAGCAAAAGAAAATGTTTTCAGCTTGCATGGAGAAAATTTGGTCATATTAAGGGAGAGCTCGGATGCATCAGTGATATCAGAGATCAGGGTAAATTGCAAATATCATCACAGGAGGCTCCAGACTTAAGATCCCTTCATGATTCTTGTTAAGGAAATGAGTTACAAGTTTGGAGTCATCTGTACATTATTCATTCAGAGGATTTGTAAGACTTCCTTTCATTAAAAAAAAAAAATCTGTTTTTCTCTAAGAGATTGAAGACCCTATTAAGGAAAGGGAACATTGCCTGAAAAGAAGAAAACAAGAAATATTGGGTTGGCAAAAAAAAAAAAAAATCATTGGGATTTTCCATAAGATCTTATAGAAAACCCCAAAGGAACTCTTTCGCCAACCCAATATCTGTTGAGTAAATGAAGGAAAGGATGTAAGCAGATAATAAAAGCTTAATTAATCAGCTTTTGGTTGATTGTGGTAGTAACTGAAAATTAGTCATTTCAACTAGTAATTGAAAATTGAACCTCAATAATCTGTGCAGTGCTGATAATTGAAAGGGTTGACTTTTCCCTGTTCCTGTGTATCTTCTCCTACTGTCCTTCCAGCACAGGGGGCACTTTTATGATATCTGGTTTGGCCTTGACAACCAATACAAGAGGTAAATGTTATCTTCATTTTATAGATAAGAAAAATCAGGCTCCTAGGAGACAAATGATTTTTGGAAGTCTCACATCTAATAATAGCAGGGTTCTGCATCTCATATGCTCTTTCTAGCCTGTATGTAAAGACTGGCCACGCCTGTATAAAGCCCTTCACTCAAGTTAAACTGATCCACTTAGCACCCCTTAATGCTTCTGCCCTTTAGCCCTTTGTATTCATGATTCTTTACTTCCTTCTGTCATATCTTTTCTCTTTCATCCTTTAGCACTTTAGTAAAATCCCTTTTATGAAAACAGCTTAGCTTTAGTCCAGGGTTTCTCAACCTTAACACTGCTGACATTTTGGCCAGATAATTCTTTTTTTGTGGGGAACAATCCTGTGCATCATAGGATGTTTAGCAGCATCCCTGGCGTCTAGCCATGAGACACCAGTAGCGCTCCCCTGCCCAACTGTGACAGTCAAAAATACTGCCAAGCCTGCCTTGCTCAGCATCTTCAGGGGAGCCAACTACTCTCAGCTGAGAATTTTGTTCTCATATATCCCCGCCTGTAAGTCTTTGCAAATCTTTCTGAGTCCTCTGCAAAAACCACAGCCCTTTACTGGTAATCTTTGTATTTAAAATTAAACACTCACGTCCTTAAGAACTCCCTCTCCTGGTTTTCTTTATATTTTCAGTGTTGCGTTGCTATTTAACTTTTCATGTGTAGAACTATCTCTCCAACTTTCCTAAAAGTTTTTTTCAAGTAGAAATGAAGCCCTTTCCGAATCTCAGTAAGACTTTGTGTTTTGCACAGAACACCAATTTGATAATCTGCTTATTTTGTGGCATGGAAATTTGAATTAACTAATGATGCTAAATTATTTGACACACCTAATGATTAATGATGCCCAGCAGCAACTCAAGTCCCAGTTGTCAAGTCACCTTGGAGGAAATTGACAAATGCCAACTACTGTTTAGTTTCCATTCGTGAACTGAGTTAATTCCTTGAACAATAACAAAAATCTGGATTTCTACATAGTTTCTCATTTATATTGTAAAAGGCAAAAGATTTTTTAAAAATGAGGTGAATTGATTAAATAATGAGATCATGTATATACTTTCACGGAAGAGCATAGTCACTGTTTGCTGGAGAAAAGAAGACTTTTTTAAAGCTGCAATTTTTTAACCTTATTGGAGAACACATGAACATTTCTGCGTTTCCACAGGTGTGAAAAACAAGCAGATTCTAACTTCTTTCAGGTGCCTGGGCACATGGCCGATTTTAGAAATCTTAGATTTAGGTTGTACTTATGATTTCCCCATCTCATATAGCCACTTTGTTTTGTTAATGTGGTGAATATTCCTTCAGGACAAGAATAGAAGACTTCTATGAAATCTGTTTTTATTAAAAATATACGGAACATAAAATTTGTCATCCAAATCATTTCAAGTGTACAGTTTAGTTCTGCAAAATGTCTTCACATTGTTGTACAATCAATCTCCAATCATTTTTCACCTGGCAAAACTGAAACCCTATAGTGAGTAAACAATTTCCCCCTTCCTTTATTCAACCCCTCCCAACAACCATCCTACTTTGTCTCTCTATGGATTTGACTACTCTAGATACTTCACATAAGGGGGTCATACCTTATCTGTCCTTCTCTGACTCGATTATTTCACTTAACATAATATCCACATGGTTCATCCATGTTGCAGAATATGTCAGAATTTCCTTCCTCTTTAAGGCTGCATTATGTTCCATTGCATGTATAGACCACATTTTGCTTATCCATTCATCTGTTGATGGACACTTGGGCTGCTTCCATCTTTTAGCTATTGTGAAAAATGCTGATATAAACAGTGTATACATATCTCTTGGAGACTGCTTTCATTCATTTTGAGGCATAAACCTAGAAGTGGAATTTCTGTATCATATGGTAGTTCTGTTTTTAATTTGTAGGAAACATCATACTGATTTCTACAGAGACTGCATCATTTTACATTCCTACCAAGAGTGAGCAAGGATTCCAGATTCACCACATCCTTGCTGACTCTCCTTATTTTTTTGGTTGTTTGTTTTTGGACAATAGCCAGCAATGAGCAGTATCTCACTGTGGTTTTGATTTGCATCTCCTTAAGGATGTGTGATGATTTGAACAACAGATGATTTGAGCAACGTTTCTTGTGCTTGTTGGTGATTTTTGTATATCTTTTTTGGGGAAACGTCTCTTCAAGCCCCTTGACCACTTTTTAAATGAGTCGTTTGTTTTCTGTTGTTTAGTTCTGGTCATTCTTTACATATTCTGCAGAGTAACCATTTATCAGATATATAATTTGCAAATATTCTCTCCCATTCCATAGGTTGCCTTTTCACTCTGTCCATTGTGTCCTTTGATGCATAGAACTTTTTAATTTTGATGGGGTCTGATTTATCTCTTTTTTATTTTTTTGACATCTTATTTTTTAATAAAATCAGGGATCTCCAGGGGTATAATCCGGAAGCAGAACTGTGCTAAACACTATCGCTGATGACTGCAGGCCTGCGGAGCCCTTGGTGAAACCAGCCTAAATAATACATAATACAGTATAATCTCTCTATTCTGATTCATACAAAAATTACAAAATATTCCCTGCCCCAAATCCTTACATTATGAAAATGAAATAAAACCCTAGAATGAGGTGGTTTGACAGATGTATTAGACTGGAACACGCAGTAAAGCTGCGCTCCGGCCAGCAGCTTCAGGCTGAGGCGGTGGTGCAGGGCCGGGGGCGGGGGTCTCTCCTGGGACAGGACGCCAGGCCCCCTGGAGCCCCCGGCCCCGTTCACTGGCGCAGGCGCGCCCCGAGCAGGGAGCCACAGCACTCAGCAGCCCCCACCTCTCCGCTCTGTCGTGGGCCGGCGGCACTGTTTCAGAGTGGGCTTGATGTCCTTCTGCGTGTCTGTCGTCCTGACGCACTTCAGGGGTCTCACAGCGGTGGCACCTTCGGGCGAACACTGACTACAGTGCCGGGCTGGAGTACGAGGACGGCTTGGCCGCTGCAGACAGCTTGGGTCTAGGCAGCTCCATTAGGTAGGCCGGTCCCTGTCTCCGGAAGTGGTCCTCCTCAGGCCTCCGGAGGGCTGTTTCTGCTTCCGGCCCTCTGGTGCCGTCTGCCAGGTGTTGCTGAGTAGTTCCATGGGGCGCTCGGAGAGGAGAGCGGGGGGCCTTTCGCCTGTCCCTGGCCAGAGCTTGCTTCTCAGCGGGCCTCTGCTCCTGCAAGTAGGGGAGTTGCAGGGCCTGGTGGGCAGTGATTCTCTCCTCAGGCTCATAGGCCACCACTTCTGTGTAGGAGGGAGAGGCATTGCGGGGACAGCTTGGTTGTCAGTCGAGGTATCCCTGATCCCTTTTTAAAGGGAAAATCAAAACTGATAGCTCAGGACTGTTTGAACTTGGTGAGGGTCTGTTCCGCAGGCGTGCCCATGACGTCGTGGATCCTTGAGATCTGGATCAGTTCGTTGGCTCCGGGGAAGAGGGGCTGCAGGCTGGCCATCTTGTAGAGCACGCAGCCCGCACTCCACAGGTCCATCGTGTAGCTATGGAAGCCATCGGTGAGGAGACACTCAAGGGCCCGGTACCAGCTGGTAGAGATGTACTCCCTGTAAGGCTGCTTAGAGTAGAAGCTCCGGCACGACCTGAAGTCCCCTAATCTCAGGACATCCTGCTTTATTAATGTATCTTCTGGTTTTACGTCTCTGTGAAATATTCCATTTCTGTGCATGTGATCCAGAGACTTACATAACTGATACATATAGTACGTAATTTTTTTTCCCCCTGATAATGGGTGTCTTCTCCCTCATAAATATTCATGTCCATAAGTTTATATGTTAGTGCAAGAGAACCAGATTTTCTGTCAAAAACCACTTTGTGCAGCGTGAGAATGTTTGGGTGTGGATTCAGGCATCTCAGTGCTTGTATCTCTTGCAGATTGTTCACTTGCTCAATACTTTCAAAATGTTGTTTCATTTGTTTACATGCATAGTAGTTTCCATCTGGCAGGTTCTGCATCTTAGTAACTTCAGAAAACGTTCCCTCCTGTATTTTATTAATTGGTTTATAGTTCTTCATCCTGGATTCGGAAGTTGGCGACAACCCCTTGCTGATACTGGTTGGAAAAAAAAGGGATAGAAAGTGGAGGCCCTGGCTTGCACTCTTTAGAGGCAGGGTCCCGAACATGGACCTTCATGGTGGTCCCTAGATGGAGAGTGTTAGGATCCGGCTGCCATGTGTATCCCTGTCACCCTAGCCTGATTTATCTCTTTATACTTTTATTGCCTATATTTTTGGTGTCAGATCCAACATATTACTTAAATCCAATGTCGTGAAGGACTTCTGTCAAATTTATCTTCCTCACAGAACCTAGAGCTCATGAATTACTTCCATTTTTGTTGACTGAATGTTTTAAATGTTAAGTGCCAACCAAATCTTCATAAAGTTTCCTCACTCCAATTCTACTATTTTTGTCCATGGAATTCCCCAGGCAAGAATACTGGAGTGAGTTGCCATTTCCTTCTCCAGGGGCTCTTCCCAACCCAGGGATTGAACTCTGGTCTCCTGCACTGCAGGCAGATTCTTTACCAACTGAGCTACTAGGGAAGTCCTTTCACCAACCAAATCTTCATAAAGTTTCCTTACTCCAATTCTACTATTTCTAGAAACATTTCTATCGTATAATCTAGGGGAGAGTATGTTCTCTCTCAGTCTATCTTTCCCTCTCCACTCTGGCTTTTGTGCTGTCTTGTGTACTGAGAATGGAACCCCTCTATTCTTAATAGCAGTCTGTATATAAAAATAGAAGAATTATACCATTACCTAACATTTTGTGAGAGTTAAATGAAGAAAAAATTTATGTGTAGGTTTGGTGATACTTGGAAACAGTAACTGCTCATGAACGATGGTGGTTAGTTATTGACGAAAAAGAAATCAGACTTACAGAACCTAGAAATTCCTTAAGACTTGCTGATACTAACATCTGCACAACACTGTCAAGGTATCATATTTTTGTTGGGAAGATAAGTTTAAATTAAAACATGTATAAAAAGAAGCAAGATCATCAGTGAGTAAAGCAAGTACTGATGTCTGTCAAGAATTCCAAGGAGAGATTACTACAAAATCGAGCAACACGATAAAGTTTCATGGAGAAGATGAACTTGGGCATCATTTTGATGGACAGCTGAATTTAGATCACAGGAGAGGAAAAGAAGGATGCACCAAGACAGCAAACACATGAAGGATGGTTTGTCTATCAGTCAGTCTTCAGAGTGTGGAAGGACTTAAACATCACACTATGGGTTTTGTACTTCATCTTCTAAACCAAGGGTTGGCAAACTTCTTAACTTTTTCTGTTAAAGGCTAGACAGGAAATATTTTAGACTCTGTACTTACAAGCATTCTCAGTCAGATATCTTCTTTGCTATTTTTTTTCAACAACACTTTAAAAATGTAAAATCCATTTTTAGCTCTCAAGCTGCACAGAAACAGGTCACAGACTGGATCTGGTATAGTTTGCTGACCGAGAGACTCTATCAAAGATTTTTTTGAACAGTCACTTGACATGATCAGAGGTACATTTGAGGAAAATGGCTGAGGGAGGTGAGAATCACCTTACATATCTTTCCTTCCTAGATTCTGTATCTTAGAGAACACATGTTTTATAAATTAAACTGGAAGGACAAAGCTTTATATTTTCTGGCTCTGTATATAGAGCAGAGAATTCTACCATCACTGAGAAGACTACAGTGTATAAGTTCTTTAGGATAACATTTTCACTGCATCTCACCCTCTTGCTGGCTACAGCTGGCATCATAATTGCTATTAATAGCATTACAAATGGGTACATTGTTGGCACTTAATGGATACTTTAAGAAGTGAATTTAGGAGGTGAAAATGCTTTATGAACTCTATAATAAAGAAGTTTTATTGCAGCTAGTTAAGAAACAAATGTTATGAGAAGAGCAGATTCTTCTAGTATGTATCGTAAAATATGACAGTCTTTATGCTAGCATCTTAATTCTACAAGCTTCGTGTGTTTGCCTTTAAAGGTATTTCCATCAAAATGACGATATGGAACCAAAGCGATATATTGTCCTTTTCCTGAGCTCCATATCAGTCAATGATGACCAGGGAGATTTGGGGCAGCTTTATAGGAAGACTGATGAAGCATTTTGTTATGTGAACAAAATTAAGGTTTCTCATCTTTTAATGCAGTATAGGAGAACCCAAACATTTTGAGTTTGTGATAGTTAATTTTATCCATCAGCTTGGCTAGGCTACAGTACCTGGATAAATATTTGGTTAAATATGATTCTAGGTGTTTCTGTGAAGGCATTGTGTATATATATACATGTATATATACACACACACAGTTGGTTTTATTTCTCTCAGTTCAGTTCAGTTCAGTTGCTCAGTCATGTCTGACTCTTTGCGACCCCATGGCCTACAGCACACCAGGCTTCCCTGTCCATCACCAACCCCTGGAGAACCCTAATACAGAGGGTAACTATCTTGATAGTTAATGACTCTCCCAAACCATCTAGTAAACCTTAAACTTTTTACTCTTTCAGAAGTGTTAACTATTACCAAGGGCAAAGTTTCTTTATCGATACAAAATTTTGGACTAAACTGGAGGCAATTCAGTTAAGTTTAAGCAACATTTTCTGAGTGGTTCCCATGTGCTGATACTAGGCACCATTCACAGATGAATAAGAGACAGTTCTCTCCAGACTATAGTTTCATGAAGGCTTGTTGTTGTTGTTTAGTCACTAAGTTGTGTCTGGCTCTTTTTCACCCCATGGACTGTAGCCTGCCAGGCTCCTCTTGTCTATGAGATTTCCCAGGCAAGAATACTGGAGTGCGTTGCCATTTCCTTCTCCAAGGGTCTTCCCAACCCAGGGATCAAACCCACCTCTCCTGCTTGGCAGGCAGAGTCTTTACCACTGAGCCATCTGGGAAGACCTTCATGATGGTCTTCCATTAAAAGAATGTCTATAGTAATGAGTACATAGCTTATATAGTCTAAATTCATAAATATCCGTCTCGAAATAAGAAAAATTTTCATCTTAATCACAGTTTCTTTGACAGAGTGCATAAATGAAAGAAGCTAGAAGTTGAATTTCACCTACATGTTCTTTGGGAACAGAGTTCAGGTCATGGATGTTTTCATGGCGAAGAAGACAGACAAGCAAGAACTTGGAGAAATGGCCTCTTCAGAGACAGAAACATATGTGATGAGATCTATTGTGAGACATTAGGCAGATAAGGATGTAATCAAGCCCTGGAGGTTGTGAAGGGATGAAGGACCATAAGTGTGATAGGGTCTGGGGTGGGGAGAAAGGTGCTGCCTACTTGCTTTACCTTACTGATAGTTGTGTCTATAATCCTCCAAACACTTTGACTAAGCAGTTCTTTGATGAACACCCCCAAATGCTTCACGTGGAACTTAAATTGAAACCAATATTACAAAAAGAAAGCGTTTAGTTTTGTGCTGATTCTCTCTATCTAGTCTGTTACTGAGGCTGTAATTTTCCAGTGTTATCTATCCTTGCTTCTAATGTTTTATAGATTTTCTTTTTCTGTTAGAGCAACTAAATTTCATTGGTAGAGTCTGAAACACTTAACGGATTTTTAATCATAGAACTATCTTTTGCACAATCTCCTTGAGGAAAGTAACACCATTCTGGCATTTTATATTGTGGGAAGAGAAGCAGTTTTATTTCTTCGAACACTGAAACTGACAAAGAACCCATTGACTCGCAAACCAGTCCTAAAATAAACTGTATTGCTATTTGAACCATGGGTACAATTACCTATTTTCTACTTGTATTCAGAGGGAATTCAAATAATGGAGAAGAAAAAATATTGAATGTCAAAGTGCATTTGCCTTTGCAGAAATAGTCTGAGGTGTTATTAATGAGGATCTGCAAATAACCACAATTTTGCACAACTCAACATTCATAAATAACTACTGGTTAAATCGAGGGAGCAGTTTCTGCTTTCATTATATCTTGCATATGAAGTGTACATGTTATCTTAACATCAAAGTGTGTATAGTATTACCAAAGGAAGAAATCTGATGATGGCAGTATTTTGAACCACACGTTATCAATAGATCACTTAGTGGTATGGCAGCATTCCAACCAGGCAGAGTTTCTTTTATGCTGCAAACAAAGGTTGTTCCTTTGCCCGTGTTTGAAATCTGCACTGATATACATGATTAGTTCTACTAGGCTTCTGGCTGATTTAAGTAGATGAGTATTTCTGTTGATTTTTATTGTAATATTATTATACCTGATATGAAGAGCCAGCTCTTTGGAAAAGACCCTGGGAAAGACTGGGGGCAGAAAGAGAAGAGGGTGACAGAGAATGAGATGGTTGCATGGCATTGTCGACTCAGTGGACATAAGTTTGAGCAGACTCTGGGAAATAGTGAGTGACAGGGAAGCCTGGAGTACTGTGGTCCATGGGGTCACAAAGAGTCAGACACAACTTAGCGATGTGTATTTGTATGTGTATATATGTGGGGCTTCCCTGGTGGCTTCGTTGGTAAAGAATCTGCCTGGTATGTAGGAGACCTGGGTTTGATCCCTGTATTGAGAAGATCCCCTGGAGGAGAGAATGGCAACCTACTCCTGCCTACTCCTCTCCTACTCTTGCCTGGAGAACTCCGTGGACAGAGGAGCCTAGCAGGCAGCAGTCC